CGCCGGAGCCCAGCAGGTCAAGGCTGCGGTGGCCGGGAGCGGCCACTGCACTCCAGTCTAGGTGACAGAGTGAGACTCCAACTCAAAAAAAAGAAAAAAGAAAATAACAGGCTCATTGTCAAATGCAATACCACTCTCTTTTCTCTCATCAGGTTGATCTTTACATAAAGCAAAAATTTATCCAGTAAAGGGCTTTCATGAAGAAATTAAAGAGAAACGACAAGCAACAGGGAAACCAGGCATTTGTGTGCTGGAGAAACCACCTAAAACAACTGTGTGGCTGAGGTGAAAGCATGAAGACACCTGGAAGACATTTTACTGAGTGTGACATTTCTGCCCGTCTTTCTGCTTAGGGAAGAGAGGATATAGTTTTCTGGAGAATAAGAGTGCAGTGTAAACATGGAGACTACAGTTTCTGAAATCCAAGTAGAAAATATGGATGAGAAGCGGGCAGCAGAAGGCAGGGCTCAGGAGGACAGGCGGGAGGGCCGAGCATCCAAGCTCTGCTTCAAGAGAAGGAAGAAAGCGGCCCAGGCGCGGGAGCCCAAAACTGCCTCTGAAGCTGCCCACGTGGCAAAGAAGCGGCCCCCAGAAGCAGGAGCTTCCGACCAGCCACAGTCCCCAGGGGGGGCCTGGGCCTCCATCAAACGTCTCGTAACTCGCAGGAAAAGGGCCAATGCATCCAAGCCGCCAAAGCCGCTGGGGGCTGAAGTGCAGCCCGGAGTCAGTGCTGAGGATGCCGATCTTTCTAGGAAAAAGACCAGATCCAAGCTTAAGATTCCCTGCATACGGTTCTCGAGAGGGGCAAAAAGGAGTCATCATTCTAAAATCATAGAAGACTCAGACTGCAGTATCAGAGTCCAGGGAGAGACTGAACATCTGGACACACAAACTCAGACCGAGTCGGATGACCAGGCGACAAAGGCTAAGTCAACCCAGAATCTGGATGAGTGCGTCTCGAGGAAGGATGGTGATGAGCTCTGTGAGTCACACCTGAGTAACAGTACAACTTCCGGAGAGAAAGTGATCTCAGTGGAACTTGGATTAGATGACGGGCATTCTGCTATTCAAACAGGAACTCTAATCCCTGAAAAGGAAATTGAAACCATTGAGGAAAAACAAGATGTCCAACCCCAGCAAGCAAGCCTGCTTGAAACTTCAGAAACAGACCACCCGCCGCCAGTAGCTTCTGAGGCTCCTCCTTCACCTGTAATTCCAGATCAACAAACTGTGGAAGCAGCCAGAAACGGTGTCCTAGAAAGTGGACCGAACTGGTATGATGACGAACCTGAAGAGATTGTAGCTGAAGAGAATGAGCTGAAAGACACTGAACCGAGCCCGAAAGAGACTGAACCGAGCCCAGAAACCGATTTTAAAGAAAATGGGATCACTGCAGAGAAACCCAAATCAGAAGAGAGCAAGAGAATGGAGCCAATTGCTATTATTATTACAGACACTGAAGTCAGTGAGTTTGATGTTAAGAAGTCTAAAAATGTCCCTAAGCCATTCTTAATTTCAATGGAAAATGAGCAAGTAGGGGTTTTCACTAATGACGGTGGTTTTGAGGGTAGGACTTCAGAACAGTATGAAACGCTCTTGATAGAAACAGCCTCTTCTCTCGTCAAGAACGCTATCCAGTTGTCTATCGAGCAGCTGGTTAATGAAATGGCCTCTGATGATAATAAAATAAACAATCTTCTACAGTGACTTTCCCGATCATGGGAGGAAAAAACAGCTTAATGAATTATTTTACACATCGGTGGCATTTCTCAGTAACAAAAGATTGTTCATTGGTAGAATTTCAAGGTACAATTCTAGCCCAGAAGTGCCAGAGAATAAGCCAAGTTTGTAAAACTCTCTCTGCCACTGAAATGCAGTCACTGCTGGACTGGAGGAAGGCAGCATGGATTGCAATGCCAGGTGACATTCAGGAAACACTAAAATGCCATGTGGAGATTGTAGTGCTCTGGGGAAGGAAGGTGCATTTATTGAGCACTTATGATATACCTTAAGTTCTTTCATGTCCTCTGATGTCACCAAGTCTGATTTCCTTTTGATAATTCAACCATGTGTATAGGTTGGCATCCCATTCCATTTTTAAAAGCTCATTTTTTACAGTGCACTTTTATGTTGTTTAAAATGATGAATAAGGTGAGCCTCTTTTGTGAATGTGTGACTTATAGTTGCTACACTCCTAAGCAGTAGTAACTCAAAAAATAGATTGCCTTTTGCCCAATTTCAGCAGATATTCAAAATATTCATCTTGAAATGAAACATGAGTGGTTTTCTAGTCTTGCTCAAGTCCCTTAAAAGAGCCATTCACAAATTCCTTCAACCAGGCAAGTAGGTACTAAGTGCACAAGTATGGAAACCGGGAGTGTATTTTTCCCTCTCCATCTCCCTTTTGCATCAGCAGACCTGTATATGTGGATTAATTTCTCAGTACACCTTTATATTATGTAACCATTAGTTCGCCAGTTGCATAGCTTGTCGATTGATATTTGGCTTTTAAATGAGCTCCAGAACCAAGAAAATAAAATATAAATAATTTCAATAGCTTGCTTTAAAGATAGCAAGAACTGTCTATTCTTGGTTGAATTGTGAGTTGATGGGCTGCATTATAGTACAATGGGTTTATTTGCAGAAGAAGAAACACCAGAAACAAAATGAGAGTATTTTTCTTCTTTCAGGAGAAGGGAAACCTTCCAAGCAACAAATGATCACAGATAACATAGGATTCATCTTGCAGAATTACTTCTCTCTCCCCATCTTTCTTTTTTTTTTTTTTACTTTTTGCATATTTTTTGAGATGGGGTCTCACTCTGTCACCGAGGCTAGAGTATAGTGGCCTGATCATAGCTCGCCACAGCTTTGAACTTCTGGGCTCAGGTGATTTTCCTGATTCAGCTTACTGAGTGGAGGAACTATAGGTGTGCTCCACCTCACCAAGCTAACTTTTAAATTTCTTGCAAAGACAAGGTCTCACTAAGTTGCCCAGGCTGGTCTCGAACACCTGAGCTCAAGGGATCCTGCCACTTTGGCCTCACAAAGTGCTGGGATTACTGGTGTGAGCCACTGTACCTGGCCCAGAATTACTTCTCCAAGAACCATAGTCATCAGCCTCTCCTCAAAGAGGGGAGAGGAGATTCAAAGCCAGCCTGATAATAAGGGCCCTAGGAAATCATAGTAGAGTGAAAATATCTTGGCCAAAAAATGAGCCATGTACATGGTTGAATGGAAAGTGAAAAGGTATTGCTAAAGCACATTATATTTTAAATGTCAGTATTCTTTTGTGCCTGTGTGGTGAGAGAGACCAGTAAAAAGCATTTTACATGTATATTGAAAACTAACTTTTTCTTTCTTTCTTTTTTTTTTTTTGAGTTAGTTTCTTACTCTGTTGCCCCAGACTGGATTGCAGTGGCACTCTCATGGCTACCACAGCCTTGACCTGCTGGCCTCAGGTGATCCTTCCATCTCAGTCTTCTAAGCAGCTGGAACTACTGGCATGTTCCACCATGCCTGGCTAATTTTTTTATTTATTGTAGAGACAAGGGCTTGCCAAGTTGCCCAGGCTGATCTCGAATTCCTGGACTTAGGCAATCTTCTGGCCTTCACCTCCCAAAATGCTGGGATTATAGGCGTGAGCCTCTGTGCCCGGCCTTTTTTTTTTTTTTGAGGAAAACTAACTTTTCATCACTATTTTCGATCCTTACAAATATGAGAAGGGCTTGTTTGCATTTTTATTCACTTATTTAAAGGGAAGCATCTGTCTCACCGCTGATTGTCATATTTCTGGGAAAAGTACTTCTATTTCAATTTTTCCATGTGTGAAATGGCCATCATACAATGCACTTCCCTACCTCACAGGTTAGGATTCAAATCGTATAGTCCCTGTTGTCCACGGAGTGATGGTGTCACTAGTTACAACAGATGAAGTCATGAAAGCAAGTGATGTATGAGATGCCAGGTATTTGTTACAGAGCTTCATCTTGGAAGAAAGGATGTACACTAGACCATTTAAAACCATCTGGGTGAATTCTTGTATTATTTGCAGATTGCATATATAAAGTAGGTACTAATTTGGCCAAGTGCGGTGGCTCACGCCTATAATTTCAGCACTTTGGGAGGCCAAGGCGAGAGGATTGCCTGAGCCCAGGGATTCAAGACCAGCTGGGCAGTTTGGTGAGACTTCGTCTCTACAATAAATAAATAAAAAATTAGCCGGGTGTGGTGGCGTGTGCCTGTGGTTCCAGCTACATGCAAGGCTGAGACGGAAAGGATTGCCTGAGCCCAGCAGGTTGAGGCTGCGGTGGCTGTGAGCGTGCCACTGTATTCCAGCCTGGGTGGCAGAGTAAGACTCTGACTCAAAAATAAGTAAATAAATAAAAACAAAATATGTGCTAATTTGTCCCACAAAATCATTTTTGTTTCCTTCTGTAAATATATATTGAGGGCTCTGACAGAAAAAAAGAATCTGACCTTGGAATTGAACCCAATAATGGATATCAGCAAGATTCTTTGCTGAAGTGTAGAGGTATTCCCCCCAGATTATTTTCCTACCTTCATGCTTATAATCCTTGGTGGGGCGGGGGGGATCCTTCAGTTTAGCCAGATGAAAAGCGTGTCTTTCAAAATCCATGACCCAAGACACCGAATTTTTAAAATTGTACAACTTTTAAATACCGTTTTTAAAAAAGACGTTAACTTCTCTGAAAATACTCTTTTTAACTCATTATATGTGGTGCTAATGGACTTGGACAGCTACCAGCAAATATTATATCATATTTCAAAGTGAACATTTTAGAAAACCTGACTAAGGTTGGTACATTTTAGTGTTTTGAAGAATCTGTCTTCATTTACTGCAAAGATGGCTCCCAGCCAATACACTTGCATTATTACGTTTTTAGTAATCTCTCGTGAACAAGCAAAAAGCATAGTACTTACCAGTTATTTAAAACATTTTGGAAGGTTTAGGCATATTTTGGGGATTTTAAAAAACAGATAAAAGGTATATATGTGCAATGAATTCTTTGGTTAAGAAAGTAGCATTGTATCTAACTAGTCCTAGGGTTTTACTTTTCAATGTGGTTTTAATATTTATTTTTGGTTAGGATGTATTATGATTGATTGTTTTTATAATGAGATGTATACTAGCATTTTTTTTTTTTAGTTGGAGTGTCACTCTGTCGCCCAGGCTCTGGAGTACAGTGGCACACACAGCTCCTGCAGCCTCAACCTGCTGTGATCAGGCGATCTGTGCACCTCAGCCTTCCAAGTAGCTAGAACTACAGGCAAGTGCTACCACGCTTGGCTAATTTTTTTTATTAATTGTAGAGACGAGGTCTCACCAAGTTGCCCAAGCTGGTCTCCAACACCTGGGCTCAGACAGTCCTCTTGCCTCAGCCTCCCAAAGTGCTGGGATTACAGATGTGAGCTACCATACCGGCATGCATTCATTTTTTCAGTGGCTTTTCCTCAATCTTTTCCATCAAGAATATCTGTTAAGCTGGGTGCAGTGGTTCACATCTGTAATCTTGGCATTTTGTGAGGCGAAGGCCTGAGCTCGGGTTCAAGACTAGCTGGGGCAACTTGGTGAGACCTCATCTCTACAATACATCAAAAAAAAAAAAAAAAAAAAAA